TGTATTTAGGTGCTCCTATGTTGGGGGCATAAGTATTTACAATTGTTATATCTTCTTCTTGGATCGATCCCTTAATCATTATGTAGTGTCCTTCTTTGTCTCTTCTGATAGTCCTTATTTTAAAGTCTATTTTGTCTGATATGAGAATTGCTACTCCAGCTTTCTTTTGGTTTCCATTTGCATGGAATATCTTTTTCCATCCCCTTACTTTCAGTCTGTATGTGTCTCTAGGTCTGAAGTGGGTCTCTTGTAGACAGCATATATATGGGTCTTGTTTTTGTATCCATTCAGCCAATCTGTGTCTTTTGGTGGGAGCATTTAGTCCATTTACATTTAAGGTAATTATCGATATGTATGTTCCTATTCCCATTTTCTAAATTGTTTTGGGTTCGTTATTATAGGACTTTTCCTTCTCTTGTGTTTTTGTCTAGAGCAGTTCCTTTAGCATTTGTTGTAAAGCTGGTTTGGTGGTGCTGAACTCTCTCAGCTTTTGCTTGTCTGTAAAGGTTTTAATTTCTCCATCAAATCTGAATGAGATCCTTGCTGGGTAGAGTAATCTTGGTTGCAGGTTTTTCTCCTTCATCACTTTCAGTATGTCCTGCCACTCCCTTCTGGCTTGTAGAGTTTCTGCTGAGAGATCAGCTGTTAACCTTATGGGGATTCCCTTGTGTGTTATTTGTTGTTTTTCCCTTCCTGCTTTTAATATGTTTTCTTTGTATTTAATTTTTGACAGTTTGATCAATACGTGCCGTGGCGTATTTCTCCTTGGATTTATCCTGTATGGGACTCTCTGTGCTTCCTGGACTGGATTAACTATTTCCTTTCCCATATTAGGGAAGTTTTCAACTATAATCTCTTCAAATATTTTCTCAGTCCCTTTCTTTTTCTCTTCTTCTTCTGGAACCCCTATAATTTTAATGTTGGTGCATTTAATGGTGTCCCAGAGGTCTCTGAGACTGTCCTCAGTTCTTTTCATTCTTTATTCTTTATTCTGCTCTGCAGTAGTTATTTCCACTATTTTATCTTCCAGGTCACTTATCCGTTCTTCTGCCTCATTTATTCTGCTATTGATCCCATCTAGAGTATTTTTCATTTCATTTATTGTGTTGTTCATCATTGTCTGTTTCATCTTTATTTCTTCTAGGTCCTTGTTAACTGTTTCTTGCATTTTGTCCATTCTATTTCCAAGATTTTGGATCATCTTTACTATCATTATTCTGAACTCTTTTTCAGGTAGACTGCCTATTTCCTCTTCATTTGTTAGGTCTGGTGGGTTTTTATCTTGCTCCTTCATCTGCTGTGTGTTTTTCTGTCTTCTCATTTTGCTTATATTACTGTGTTTGGGGTCTCCTTTTTGCAGGCTGCAGGTTCTTAGTTCCCGTTGTTTTTGGTGTCTGTCCCCAGTGGCTAAGGTTGGTTCAGTGGCTTGTGTAGGCTTCCTGGTGGAGGGGACTAGTGCCTGTGTTCTGGTGGATGAGGCTGGATATTGTCTTTCTGGTGGGCAGGTCCACATCTGGTGGTGTGTTTTGGGTTGTCTGTGGACTTACTATGATTTTAGGCAGCCTCTCCGCTCATGGGTGGGGTCGTGTTCCTGTCTTGCTAGTTGTTAGGCATAGGGTGTCCAGCACTGTAGCTTGCTGCTTGTTGAGTGAAGCTGGGCATTGGTGTTGAGATGGAGATCTCTGGGAGATTTTCCCCATTTGATATTACATGGAGCTGGGAGGCCTCTTGTGGACCAGTGTCCTGAAGTTGGCTCTCCCACCTCAGAGGCAGAGTCCTGACTCCTGGCTGGAGCAGCAAGAGCCTTTCATCCACTCGGCTCAGAATAAAAGGGAGAGAAAGTAGAGAGAATTAGTAGTAAGGTAAAATAAAATAAAGTTATTAAAATAAAAAAATTATTATGAAGAAAAAAAATTTTTTTAAGTAAAAAAAAAAGGACGGATAGAATGCTAGGACAAATGGTGAAAGCAAAGCTATACAGAAAAAATCTCACACAGAAGCATACACATACACACTCACAAAAAGAGGAAAAGGGGAAAAAATACTAAATCTTGCTCTCAAAGTCCACCTCCTCAATTTGGGATGATTTGTTGTCTATTCAGGTATTCCACAGATGCAGGGTACATTGAGTTGATTGTGGAGATTTAATCCACTGCTCCTGAGGCTGCTGGGAGAGATTTCCCTTTCTCTTCTTTGTTCGCACAGCTGCCGGGGTTCAGCTTTGGATTTGGCCCCGCCTGTGCGTGTAGGTCGCCGGAGGGCGTCTGTTCTTCGCTCAGACAGGACGGGGTTAAAGAAGCCGCTGATTCGGGGGCTCTGGCTCACTCAGGCCGGGGGGAGGGAGGGGTACGGAGTGCGGGGTGAGCCTGCGGTGGCAGAGGCCAGCGTGACATTGCACCAGCCTGAGGTGTGCCGTGCGTTCTCCTGGGGAAGTTGTCCATGGATCCCGGGACCCTGGCAGTGGCGGGCTGCACAGGATCCCCGGGAGGGGAGGTGTGGACAGTGACCTGTGCTTGCACACAAGCTTCTTGGTGGCGGCAGCAGCAGCCTTAGAGTCTCATGCCCGTCTCGGGGGTCCGCGCTGAGAGCCGCAGCTCGCGCCCGTCTCTGGAGCTCCTTTAAGCGGCACTCTTAATCCCCTCTCCTCGTGCACCTTTTGGGAGGTCTGAGGTCTTCTGCCAGTGTTCAGTAGGTGTTCTTTAGGAGTTGTTCCACGTGTAGATGTATTTCTGATGTATCTGTGGGGAGGAAGGTGATCTCCGCGTCTTACTTTTCCGCCATCTTCCCCTAGATCTTGGAGTATAGTTGATTTGCAATGTTGTATTAGTTTCAGGTGTACAGCAAAGTGAATCAGTTACACATATACATCTATCCTTTAGATTCTTTTCCCATACAGGTCATTACACAGTATTGAGGAGAGTTCCCTGTGCTATACAGCAGGTCCTTATTAGTTATTTTATATACAGTAGTGTGTATATGTAGATCCCAATCTCCCTATTTATCCCTCCCCCTGACTTTCCCCTGGTAACCATAAGTTTATTTTCTACATCTGTCACTCTATTTCTGTTTTGTAACTAAGTTCATTTGTACCATTTTTTTTAGATTCCACATATAAGTGATATCATATGTATTTGTCCTTGACTTACTTCACTCATTATGACAGTCTCTAGGTCCATCCATGTTGCTGCAAATGGCATTATTTCATTCTTTTTTATGGCTGAGTAATATTCCGTTGTGTGTATGTACATCTTCTTTCTCCACTCCTCTGTCAATGAACATTTAGGTTGCTTCCAGGTCTTGGCTATTATAAACAGTGCTGCACTGAACATTGGGGTGCATGTTATCTTTTCGAATTATGGTTTTCTCCAGATATATGCCCAGGAGTGGGACTGCTGGGTCATATGGTAGTTCTATATTTAGTTTTTAAGGAACCTCCGTACTGTTCTCCACAGCGGCTGCACCAATTTACATTCCCACCAACAGTGCAGGAGGGTTCCCTCTTCCCCACACCCTCTCCAGCATTTATTGTTTGTAGATGTTTTGATGATGGCCATTCTGACCAGTGTGAGGTGATACCTCACTGCAGTTTTGATTCGCATTTCCCTAATGATTAGTGATGAAATGACGATTTTCAATTCCAACAATAATTACTGCTCCAGACCTCATCCTGTGGGAACTAGAAATAATATCCAACTGCTTTTCCGTTTGGCCACATTCCAGCCATTTCCCAGTCCCATGATGATGGCTTGACCTTTCTCCTCAGGCACTAGCCCTGCCAGCAGACAGGGAATCTGCCCTCAGCTTCCTGGTTTGCCAGCATACGGACCAGTAGACAGCGACAAGAGGGGAAAAAAAGACATCCGTACAAGCCTAGACTAAATCTGTATGCACTATGGGCCACCTAATAATCTACTGCCCCTTCAAACCAATATTCCCTCAATGAGAGTTCCACGTTTATTTAGTAAGAAGGACTGATTTTATAATTTTAAAAAGTGTGTCTATACCAGATTGACTTAGTAGTTCACTTCTACTGGCTGAAGGCAATGTCAATAATCTAAAACTTTTTTTTAGTCAGAAAATTACTTTTTAAAAAATACTTCTCTATAATTCCAATTCTCAATTTTCTTTTGCAAATTCCCAAACCAGAGAAGTTCATAATCAGTATACAAATCCACCCTCGAGTCTGTATAATGCCTCTGTGTATGTATGTCTGTCTTGCAGGGTGACTCTGAATGAAAAGGACAATTTCATGAATGCTGAAAATCTGGGGATCGTATTTGGGCCCACCCTGATGAGGCCCCCTGAGGACAGTACCCTCACCACCCTCAATGACATGCGGTACCAAAAGCTGATTGTGCAGATTTTAATAGAAAACGAAGATGTTTTGTTTTAATCCACCAGGGAAGTGAGCTGAATGGCCCGAGCCCCATCTAAGTTGATAAGGCTAAAGAAATAAAAACATCTTTTACACTTGATTTGTTTTCCAAACAAGTGGTGGAATTTCCTAGACCACAGAGGATCGCCATGTCGGCTACTGTGTCTCATAGACACTGGCCCTCTCCACAGGAGAACAGCAAGGATGAGGGTGAGAAAAAGCCCTCGCCTGGGTCTTTGCTGTGCCTCGTATTTCTGTTTTGCTGGAAGAGTGATTAATAAATCTTTCTTTAACTTATTAAAAAACAACGTAGACCTTTAAACTTCAGTCTTATCAGTAATAAAAGGGAACTTAATTCATAGAGGTACTTGATACAGTTATACATTTTCCACTTACAAAAAGAAGACAATTCTATATGTTAAATGTTAAATGAAACTTATATTGTAAAATGTATTTTTATTTTAGCTGCAAGAATGTTACTTTATTTTAGCAAATAGAACTCAATGCAGTGCATTGATTATTACCCTGTGTACCTTGTCCTGCCTTCTTGCTGCGATCCCTGAAAAGTTTACCATGAATGCAGTATCATCTTGACATACCTCTGTCCTTATCAGTGCTTTGCAATGAAATTTCACCTCCCACCTCTGTCCCTGCTTTTGATAGTTTTTGCTGTTATGCACTGGCATTTTGCTGTTGTGCGGTGTATGTTTATAGCAATTGTAGGATGGTCTGAAACATCCACAAATTTTCTTTCCATAAAAATTTCGTGAAACCCCAAAGATGTTCTATGAATTGGTCATGGTCTTTCCATATCATGTGTGTACATCACAGATCATGCAGAACGTGGTCATTTTACATAAAATGATTTGGAAACACTGGTTGTATCTGGGCCATGTAAAAAGTTAGCACTTCTTTCTTTTCAGGTAAGCATTCTGAATTCATCTGTTAATGTCAAGTTGCATTTTCGCCACATTTCTGTACTTATGAAAAGTGAATCTGCAGAGTCATTGCTGATTTTTTTCATTTTTGTTTTATAAACAAGCCTGTTTTTTAAAGGAAGAATGAATGTTTGGTTTTTTACAAATATGTGTTCCTCCTTGATCAAAGTAACTCTGATGGCTAATAATTTAATATGATTTGATTGCTATAGTCCTATCTTATTGGTTATATTTAATTAGCATGAGCTTTCCACACCAAGATTTCTGTATTTTGTAACATAGGTAAAATATTTAAAACGTCAAAAACTGTCAATCTAAATTTTTTTTCTTAACCCCAACTACAAACCCCCTCTCATTATCTGAGATGATTCATGTCATTACTCACTAGTCTTGTTTCGGAGTGACCAGAAGAGAATTACTGTGTGATAAGCGAGCTGAAAGGGGAGAGGGCATTGCAGTTGTTATCCTAGAAAGTCCCGAGGGCTACGTGGGTGGACTCCACTGGCACACGGGGGTCAGAATGGTTCTGCTTGGTCCCTGCTAGTATCGTTCCTCCCAACTGTACAGATTTGTTTGTTGTAGCTTATGTACTTCTTGATACTGTCAAAAAACTATCTGGAAATGGTTTTATTTTGTGAAGTGAACAATACTTTGTAATTTATGATAGTGTAAATGGAAGGAAAAGCATTAAAAGTATTAAATTCTCCTGTCCATCATTTTGGAAGACGTGAAGGAAATTGATGTTGGGGGAAAGGGGGGGCAGAATATTCAAAACACTGCTCCCAGATGGATTGTGGGCAATAAAATGTCTACCATCACCAAGACACGATGAGAAAACAAACACCCCATGGAGTCCACACCTCCTGGCCCCTCTCCCTCCTCCAGCTTCCTCCTGAGGAGCCTGCCTGCAATTAAGATTCCAATACTCCAGCTTCCCTTTCTATAAAGACCCATTGTGTTTATGTCCTTCATTGAGAGATGGGGTGTTTAGAGCAGATCACCCTAGGTAACTTGCAGGAGGGCAGAAAAAGAGTTTTGGAGCCAGAAAGACTTGACTTTGAATAGCAGATCTGCCTCTTATCAGCTGTATCTGACCTTGGGAATGAGTTCGCTTATCTGAAAAACTGGGTTTGGAAATATTCTGATTGGGACACCTTAGATAAAATGATGATCTAAAGTAATTAGTCATAGTTACTTCTTATTATCATCATTATTTTAAGAATGATGACTTAGGAGGGGAAAGGAAGACACATGAGAGAAAAGGATTTGTCCCGGGTTAAATCCAAGTCTGAGTAATAATAAGGGGTATTATTATAACAGGGCTCCATAATGTGTAATGAGGTTCACTTGACTCCTTTTCTCGAATGTGATTACAACACCTGATCCCCTCTACCTGCCTTTAGTCTGAAACCTGCTCTGATACCCATGCCTATCTTCCCCACCATCTGGCAGCCTGACGTGGCTTCTCTTACCTGGCTTGAAATTCCTGCCATTGGAATAACTCTAGTAGTTAGACCTGAAAGGAGGCAGTGTTGTTTCCAGAACCCACTGTTAAATTGCCCACAGGTGGGTTGTGTGAGATGGGACGGGGCAGTGTGGGTGGGGGAAGACCTTTTTCTCTCTCCCGTTAACATAAATGGGCACCTGGTCTCCAAGCTCGGAAGGGGCCTGGTGCAGAATTTCAAGGACAGCAGCCTGGAAGGGACGAGGGAGGGGAGATACGGGGAGTTGAGGAAAGTCACATACCACTACAGGTGTGTTGCCTGGGCCATCCTGCCTCCAACTGAAAACCCGACTCAGGTTGCTTACAAATTCCCAAGATCTATCAACCCCCAAATTTACAGTCAACCTTTCGATTTTTAAAAATGTAATGTTCATTAATTTTCAACCAACATTTATCAAGCACTTATTAACGGACCAGACACTGAATACTGGCAAGAAGGTTTGTCTCACTGGAAGAATTAAATAATAAGTTTAGTTTGGCTGGAGAGCAAAAGCTGGTCATGCTAAGGATTTTGTACTCTAACATAAAAGGCGCTGGTGCTACAAATTTTTTTTTTTAATAAACTTAACTTTGGAGTAGTTTTATATTTACAGAAAAGTTGCAAAGATACTACAGAGAGTTCTTGTGTACTCCTCACCCACTTTCCCCTAATGTTAACATCTTATATAACCACAGTACACTTATTTAAACCAAGAAACCAACATTAGTACATTACTATTAACTGAACTCCAGGCTTTTTTCGGATTTTATGAGTCTTCCGCTAATGTCCTTTTTCTGTTCCAGGATACAATCTAGGACACCACATTGCCTTTAGCATTAACGGGTCTTAAGAAACAAATGACACAATCTTGTTTACGTTTTTTAAAGATCACTTACTTGACTGTGGATCCATCAGAGAATATGCAGGCAGATGGGGGTAGTGAAGGTAGATGCAGGGAGTCACTTCGATGTTCGTTGTTGTCATTGTAAGTCTAAGGTGATGTAGCCTGGATCAGGTGGTAGCAAGGCAGAGGAAAAATAGACAGAACTGAGTTATATTTAGGAGGCAGAGTTGAAAACATTTGGTTACAGATTGGATCAGAGAATCAAAGACGACTCCCACACTGCTTAACTTGACAACTGGATAATATTTCTTGAACACAAAGAGAGCCAGAGGTTCTTGAGGAGGGGTGGAAAAAGTAAGGAGGATGATGAGTTCCATGTTGGACATGATGAAATAGGGATACCTGTGAAATTTCCAGGAAGAGATATTTCATGAGCAATTGCACTAACAGACCCAAGCTGGAGGTAGGAATTTAGGAGCGACACCAGAGGTAATAATTGGAACCAAGGTAATAATTGAATAAGAGTGCCCAGGGACCCAGAACAGAGAAATACAGGAGAGGCCTGATTCAAAGTTCTCCAGAGCACCAACATTCAGGAGAGGGGACGAGACGGAGAGAGCAAATGAAATCCATTTTGATAAAATATAGAGGGTCTCATAAGTGTGGTTCAGAAAGACTCTTTCCTTGTCTTCAGGTTCGTTTCACAATGTCCTAATCCATTTCGTTGTTCCACTTAGATGTATTTTGCTACACACGAGGCACCATGTTAGACCCTATGCTTTGGAGGGGTTTGCTTCACTGGATGCTTTGTAAATGCAAATAAGCCAGGGTCATTTTTTTCCTGAGTTGAAAAGATATTATCATACTCAAGGACCTCCTTCACTGCCTTCCACTGCCATTTGTACATACTTCTAATCCATCGGTTATCACAAAGTATTGCAATTGTGTGTCCATCTGTCTCCCACTGAAGTACAGGCTCCGTGGGATCAAGAATGGTGGACACCACATGATGGTCAGGCACACTCCTACTCATCCTGCAAGTCTCAACTCAAAGTTTCCTCTCCGCTGAGACTTTCCCTGGCTTCCCCAGGCAGAGTACATAGGTGCCAGCCATAAACACATGAAAGCACGGAGAGTTCAGAGAACTCTCCAGAGTTGGATTTAACCAGCACATGAAATGTGAGGGAAGAGGAGGGGGAATGAGATTAAACAAGCAGGTCTGCGCCAGGGAATAGGGAACCTTGTGTGCCAAGTATGAGTCAAACTTAGAAAGATTGGTCTGGTGACACGTGGAGGATAGGACAGAGGATGTAAGATTAGAAAGACAGAAGCTAATCTAGAAGACGTTATAGGCAATGACAAACTGAACTTGACTTCCAGCAGGAGGGATGGAGAAGAGCCATGATAAGAGAGATATTTAGGGCGTTGTCAAGACTTACTGATTTGATGCCAAGGTTGAACAGATGAAGTCACAAATGACACCCTCATTTCTGGTTTTTACAACTAAATGACTATTTAGGAAGATAAGAGAATACAGGAACGAAAGGGGGTTCAGCAGGGAGAAATCATGGGCTCAGTTTGCAGGATGCATATGGGGCTAATGATAAGGTGGGGCTTCCCTGGTGGCGCAGTGGTTAAGAATCCGCCTGCCAGTGCAGGGGACATGGGTTCGAGCCCTGGTCTGGGAAGATCCCACATACCGTGGAGCAACTAAGCCTGTGCGCCACAGCTACTGAGCCTGCACTCTAGAGCCCGCAAGCCACAACTACTGAGCCCACGTGCCACAGCTACTGAAGCCCATACACCTAGAGCCTGTGCTCCACAACGAGAGAAGTCACCGCAATGAGAAGCCTGCACACCGCAACACAGAGTAGCCCCTGCTCGCTGCAACTAGAGAAAGCCCGCTTGCAGCAATGAAGACCCAGCACAGCCAAAAATAAAAATAATAATAATAATAAATTTTTTTAAATAAAGTGACTGTTATAGTTTGTTGGACTTATAAGTTGAAAATAATTTTTTTAAAAAGATGATAAGGTGATGAGTCCCCTTTGGATATAGCAACTAAGGAGCCCCTGTAACTTAACAGGAGCTTTTCAGTGAGGACAATGTGGTGCATGACACATTGCTAAACCTTTACAGTGAATGGGGTTAAAAAGGAAGATAAAACCTGTATTTTTAAAGAAAAACCCATAAAGCTCTCCTTTCATAGGCTTATAAACCTCATATGTATGATAAGTCATCCACGGGAGCAAATTTTTCATTGCTGCCGAAAATTTATAACCTTAACAGACTTTCT